GCCTCTATAAGTTCATTACTTCATTGCCCAATACAGTTAATGAAGTAGTTTTGTTTTCAGATAATTGTGCAGGGAAGAACAAGAATAAATTCATTGCTTCATTACTTTTATACTGTGTAAATAATATAGACCATATTAACACTATTACTCACAAATTTCTCATTCAAGGGCACACACAGAATGAGAATGATTCAATGCATTCCACCATTGAGCGTGAAAAACGAAGAGTTGTTAAAGGTGGGACAATAACACTACCTGCTCAATGGGTACCAGTACTGAAATTAGCCAAGAAAAAAGGCAGCGTTTATAATGTGACTGAACTAGATACAGCAGATATCTTCAATTTGAAAGACTTATCACAACAAATGGGAAACAATTTCTCCAAAAATGAAAATAATAATTTAGTGAATTGGCCCAATATTAAGATCATTAAGGTCATGAAACAAGATCCTTATACCATCTTCTACAAGCACTCATGCGTGCAAGAGGATTTTGAAAAGTTAAACATTCGACAAAGAATGAGAGGTAGATCTGCCAAAGTCATGCTGCACCCAGCTTATTCTTTACCACCACAGATAGATGCTGGAAAGAAGAAAGATTTGCTGGACTTGTGTAAAAGTGGTGTCATTCCAAGCGTGCATGCATCATTTTATAATTCTCTGAAAGTTTCCAGTAGTGTTGAAAAAGACTGATCTCTAATTTGCTTGATAAAACCATAGCACAATTAGTGATACTTTTTTAATGGCTGTGTTAATTATAAATTAGTAATGTACTTTATACTTTTTTCTTCAGAGGGACTTGAAAATGTCGAAAAAGAACTTGGAAGTGATTACCCTGGATTCTATTTTCCAACACAATATTGTGCTGGATGTAGATCATTCTTAAAAACTAACTTGAAAGATATTTTACAAGCAGCTGAAAATCTAAATGAGACGTTGAAAAATGACAATGGATTTCCAATTAAGATGGAACTAGAAGATCTTTCAACTGTGTTTAAGGGTCTCTCAGCTTTTGAAGAAAATCAGTAAGAGTTTTTTTAAATTCTGAAAGTTTACAATGAACTAGACATAATTTCTAAAAGTTTGTCAAAAATGTTATGAATTTTAAAGGAAAATAATTAAGAAATTGGATGAAGTTGAAGAATTATGCAATGATATTATAATTGCAAAAGAAAATTTCTTAGATTGGAGTTTAAATAGACCTATACTAGATGATGTTAACTGGGAAGAAGAAAAAATAGTAAATTTATTTTTATAACTAAAATTATTTAAAATACTGTATACTGTAATTAAAAGACGATAAACCAAAATAAGTACAAAACAAAGTATAATTTATTATACTAATGATTATTTTTCAAAAACTAACAAATTTTTAATGTTATGGTTTTACTTTTCTACAGATTAAACAATTTGATACTGATTTAGAAAAAGCAAGAGATGAATTTACAAAAGCTATAATTAATCTAGATATTTCTTCATCGGCTTCAATAAATCAATTCGATGAAGCTTATAAGGCGTATGGATCTACAGACACATACGATCGGTTCCAAAAGAGATTGGAAGAAATGCAAAAGAAATTTGATAAAATTTATTCTAAACATTGAGATATGCATTTATTCTTTAATGTATATTTTTTCTTTAATATGAATAAATATGTTGTGATATAGAAGAATTACATGCGAACTGAAATTTTGGCGCATTCGAGCTTTCGATTCACATCACACACACGTAGAAACAGGCTTTATCGGAAAAAGTCACCTAGATGTTTAACTGAAATCTCAGCATAACTTCTGTATTAAAAAAACTTTTATTTTTGTGAATTTTTTTGTTTCAGTATGAGTGTTTGTTGCCGTTTTGTTTGTTAATATATAAATATAAAATATCAAACTTAAATAAAACATTATTAATGGTGTTGGTCTCTCTCGATTCCGGAAAAATTATACTTGGAAGTATTTAGTGATTTCGTAACTCGAATGACCTGAGATGAAACTTCACGTAATTTGAGTAATTAAATCTTCACTTTTGATGAAATTATTTCATAGTTAATGTTATCTTTAATTTTGCTCTTCCCATCCATTTTTAACATTATACAGTTTTGTCTATTTAACAGATGATGGGAGATGTTCGCTTAAAGAAACACGTTCTCAATTTCTACAAATTCTCTAATCTATTTGTTTGCTTTTCAAATCTAATTTGTGGAAACTTAAAAATAGACACTGGATATATATTTTCCTATGCAACCAGGTATACAGAACACACAAGGCACCCAGAAATAGTTATTCATTAGTATGGCAATACAGGTATACCTCGCCTTACGTCGTTAATTGGTTCCAGGAAAACGACGTAAGTCGAAAAACGACGTAAGTCGAATTTACCTGTCTCCGAATCTACTTATCACTAGGAAAGCATTTTAAATAATATATGGTTAATAAAAATCTATTTTAAGCTTACAAACAAATAAATTTTAGTTTTTAATATAGTACAAAAAAAGTAATCTAAATTTACGAATGCGTGTACTGTAAATACAGTACATACTTGTATATATTTTAATATGATTTTATGTGCTTTAAACGTTTATCTAGTGATATTACGACTTCAATATTTGTGGCGGACAGACGTAAAGTCGAATAAAATGACTTAAACTTGATTTTTATTTTTCCATATACTTTTTTAACAAGCGACGTATAATCGGGAACGACGTAACTCGAAACCGACGTAAGTCGAGGTATGCCTGTATTATTTTAACAAAAAATAAAAAAGGGTTAAAAATTGCTTACTATGAAAACATTACAGTACAAATGTAACATTACTGACACTTATATTGATAAACAATTTTTATGATGAAATGTATGGAAATTCTTATTTAAAACATATATAACTATTATATTCAAAGAAATTTAAATATTTACATTATTATTGATTGTTTAATAACTTATAGAAGAATTTTATACACTTAATTTGATAAATGGTCATACAAATTTTATTAAACATATCTACAGATATATCAATAATGGAAGTGGATATATATGAAATTTTTATAAATTTGAAAAGTGTTGTTTCTTAACACACAGATTTTGAACTGACATTCAAAAGCACAAAACGCCTATTGACATAAAGAACTGTCAATTCTAACTAAAGAATTTAAAAAAATTCTAATAAGAGTAATCTATGCAGAATATTCTTTATTCAAAATTGCTACATTTAAACTTTATAATTTGTAAAGCAAGAAATTTCTCTTTCAGAAGTATACAAAACTTAGGTGATTTGATTGTTTCATGTAACTATATTAAATGCATATGACAAATTCAAAAAATTTTCTGACTCGTCTTAATTATAAATTTCATCTTTTCTTGAACTTTTTATGAATAATATCTGTAACAAAGTATAAATTTTCTGATATTTATTATCTGTGCATGTAAATTTAAAACGCTAATTGCACTACAGTAGAGCGTCCATTATGCGAAAGTTAATTATCCGAAAGAATTCCAGTCCGCAAATTTAAATTTTCGCCAGTGCTGTGGCGCTGCAGTCTTTTGCTATGTCTTGCGCTACTCAAATATTTTACGTTTTTGATACTAAATTAACTTCTGAAGTATAATTTTTTTATTGTTTTTATATTTTTCAATATACTGTACTTTCGGACGTTTTCGATAAATTTTTCCAGATTTATTTTCGAGTAGCCAAGAGGGAACGTACACAAAAGCTCGTTTTCCGCCATTTTCGCACCGTGTCACAATGACCTAGATTTCACAGACTTCTGTCGGTGGATGGTACCTTTTTACCGCCGTATTCGCGTCCAAAGTTGAACACTGCTCTACTCGCTTTTACGCTGGTTTTACGACCTGCTCAGGCGAAAAATATCGGAATCACGTGGTTAAAAGCTTTTACGGCAAGGGGTTTTTACGCCAGTTTTACGCTAGTGGAGTCTCGGCCCAGGCTCATCTGACAAATATTTTAAATGGTCAGAAAGCGAACTAAATGCAAAAATTCAGAACACAATTATAGTTTTTTACCACTCTTATGTTCCCTGTTATTGTTGTATTCTTTGGATTTTACAAGCCTTTTGCATTATTGTTACTGATTGCTCCATACAATTGTTGGAAAATAATAAATTACTCCAAACTATTTAAAATATGCTTAAAGGCTTTAAGCACATATAATGAGAGGAACAATAAGGTATTAAATGCTGTGTTAGAAGTGCAACTAGTATACACGTTATACAGAAAATACTAAGAAATGTCACAACTAACCGCGCCCTCCCCTACTAAATGTCATGGGTTAATTTAGTTACAGTATGTTAAAAAATACAATCAAACTGTCAAAAAGAAAAGTTTATTATTTAGTAAGTAATAATTTAACACCGGTAAGTAAGTAATATTTAGTAATCATTTAGTAAGTAATACTTTTACGCATAAACACCAGTCCATATTATTGCAAGATAAAGTAAAATATTGGAAAAAATTTCAATGTATGGTATTGGTTGGTCAACTGACTTTCACTTTTGCTTAATCATCTTGTTTCACTGATTTATTAACAGTATAAATACTTGTATTCTATCCATTTATTTATCTAATTGGGCTGCAGTTTTCAAACTGCAGACTTAGGGCTATTTCACACTATGGACCAACTCGACCGATCCTATAGTAGCACTAAGTAGTAGTAAAGCATTCACATTGAGTACGATTATGTATCAGTTACCGATTGGTAAGGGCCAATGGGAACGCGTGTTACGGATCAAAACACTACCTAATCAGTGTAAGTTTTTCAATGTAAATGTGAGGTTAGCCGATTGGGGTGAGGAGATTTTGACAGCCGAGCGGTCAACACTATCGTGTGGGGGCAGAATGACTCGCCGAGATAGGTTTACCATATAAAACCGTTTAATAAAATTATAATTTCTTACAATATTTTCTTGATTGACAGATTATCACACCACGAAGCAGGAGGATAAAGTTCAAGTAGAGTTCGAAAAGTTCGTTTCCGTTTCCTACAGTTCGGCGAAGACGGTGAAATAATCGTCGGCCCCGTGGCGAATGGCACTGCTTCAGGTAGTTTTTCTCGGGCTAACCGACGAGCCTGGAAGTCGTCCGGTGACACTACAGATGAGGTTGCTTCCACTAGATCCGAGACGTTCTTTTCAAGAATCGGCGGAGACACACACGTCCAGAAGGATAAGACTATGAATCAAGAACTTTTATAACTTGAATCGCACGGTTTTATAGATTTCCTAACCTCTGTCGCCTCTGCATTGGTCTCTCCTTGTCACCTGGTGACAATTCGACACCCGATGGAGGGCGCGGGAGAGCTCAGCGTCGCAACTGAATATGATTCTTATTTCGTCGCTTTTTCTCGCTTATTCCTTTCCATCGTTTAACTAATTTACTAAAAAAAAAAAACAATTGCATCGTTCAATCGAGACACCTTATCCTTTCCATTCGCGTCAGAAAAGAAGCACTTTAAATTTCCGATCGATTCCCTTCATTCGGACCTCTCAGTCGACCCTGTTCGGGTCTTCACATAAACACAAAACATGGTCGTGATGGGACGTAATTGTGCATTTCGACGAATATCATACAATGCCATATTTTCTTATTTTATTTATCAAAGGTACGTTCGTAGAGTCGAACGAGTTAAACGAGAATTTCGTCATCGTTATTTTTATTTCATTAGACTTTTCGACCGATTCGTTTATAACTAAATGGCTGTTTCTAAATTCGAAAATACAAATGTTACTAGTGTTTTTAAATATTATAAATATACTACCTGCAAGGACCCGCTTCGCTGGGTTTTTATTTGTGGGCAAAAAGTAACAATAGTGAAGATTAAGATAATTACATTATAGCCAATCTTACCCGTTTTCACAAAATGCAAGAATTAGGTCTCCCGTTTCCAGACTAATTAGAGACCTGGTCCCGATTCTATTTCTGAACGTCTCCTGTTCACGTCCAGTCAAACGAACTATTTTTAACGTTTCTGGAACGTTTACAATCGTTCTATAATCAAACCAATATTCGAATTTTATGTTCGTATTTAATTCGAATATTGTTCGAATTAAATTCGAAGAAATTCGAACAAAACATTTGAAATAGAAAGCCACTTTCAACCACTTTCAGCCCCACATCTCCCGCACCCTTATAGCTATCGAGACGTAACCCCCACAGTGTACGAATGGAGACTTGGGGCTTCTACCACATACAAACACCATTCACGTGCGATGTGTAGTTTTGGCGGAAAAGTGAAATATAGGGACATACACGTCCATTTATATATATATATATAGATATAAATATTTTTTTAGATTGCATCGGGTAGACAGTTATTTCTATCATTTCATCTTTTAATTTACAATTTAAACACTCGAGAAATTCAGAACCATTGATATCGTCGGGCGCCATTTTCTTAACGACGTAAATTAACTATTTACTTTGTGAGCTTTGTTAGACTTTCGTTCGAAACGTCATCACCGCAGAGCATCCGCACTGAGCGAGACTACCACTTTTCGAACTATTCAGTACTAACTCGTTTAACTCGTTCGACTTTACGAACGTACCCAAAGCTTCTGAAAAGTCTGTACCTTCCACCATTTTCTAGCTGCGCCGTAGATTGGAAAAATCCAAACTCTAATTGGCTATAGCTTCAAAGCTCTCATTGGCTCAACTTCTACGATTGCTCCTACACGAATATGTAACTTTTTAAATCTGTCCAACTGGAACGACCAGTCTGTCGATGGACTGCTTTTGCCATAGTAACACGACTCGAAGTGAGGCAATTCGGTCAAGTCAGTGATAGTGTGCAATAGCCCTTATACAGTCTCACTGTCACTGTCTGTCAGTCGTTGCTTAATGCCGAGAATGAAATTTAGATGAAAATCGAGATTAGCTACAAAAGGATTAGGACTGTTTAATAAATTAAGTTTAATGTGTTATTTTTGACAGGTACTATAATGTGTTATTTTTGACAAATTCTATAATGTGTTATTTTTTAAAGGTTTCTTAATGTGTTATTTTTGACAAAATCTATAATGTGTTATTTTTGAAAGGTTATATAATGCGTTATATTTAAAAAGTTATATAATGTGTTATTTTTATATGTATTATAATGTGTTATTTTTGAAAAGTTTCATAATGTGTTATTTTTAAAGGTTTTATCATGTATTATTTTCGATAGATTACATCATGTGTTATTATTGAAAGGTTCAATAATGTGTTATTTATGAAAGGTGCTATATTGTGTTATTTTTGGAAAGTTTCATGATGTGTTATTTTTCAAAGGTTTTACAATGTGTTATATTTAAAAAGTTATATAATGTGTTATTTTTGAAAGATATTATAATGTGTTATATTTGAAAGGTTTTATATTGTGTCATATTTAAAAAGTTTTATAATGTGTTATTTTAGAAAAGTTATATAATGATTCATATTTGAAAAATTTTATATTGTGTTATTTTTGATAGGTTATATAATGTATTATTTTATGAATGGTTTTATAATGTGTTATTTATGAAAGGTTTCATAATGTGTTTTTTCTTAAAATTATATAATGTGTTATTTTTGTACGGTTCTATAATTTTTTAGTTTTGAAAGATTTTATAATGTGTAATTTTTTGAAGGTTTTATAATGTGTTATTTTTGAAACGTTTTATAATGTGTTATTTTTGAAAGGTTATATAATGTGTTATTTCTGAAAGGTTGTATAATATTATTCTTTAAAGGTTTTATAATGTGTTATATTTAAAAAGTTTTATAATGTGTTATATTAGAGAGGTATTACACTGTGTAATATTTAAAAAATGTTACAATGTGTTATTTTTTAAAGGTTTTATAATGTGTTATTTTTGTAAAGTTATATAATGTGTTATTTTTGAAAGGTTGTATTATGTGTTATTTTCGATAGCTTTTATAATGTGTTATTTTTGAAAAGTTTAATAATGTGTTATTTATGAAAGGTTCTATATTGTGTTATTTTTGAAAAGTTATATAATGTGTAATTTTTAGAAGGTCTTACAATGTGTTATTTCTTTAAGGTTCTATAATGTGTTATTTATCAAAGGTTGTATAATGTGTTATATTTCAAATGTTTTATAATGTGTTATATTTGAAAGGTTTTATAATGTGTTATGTTTGAAAAATTTAATGATGTGTTATTTTTCAACGGTTATATAATGTGTTATTTTTAAATAGTTACATTATGTGTTATATTTAAAACGTTTTATAATATGTTATTTCTGAAAAGTTTTATAATGTGTTATATTTTATAAGTTTCACAATGTGTTACTTTTCTAAGGTTTTATAATGTGTTATTTTTGTAAGGTTTTTTATGTGTTATTTTTTATAGCTATTATAATGTGTTATTTAAAAAAGTTTTATAATGTGTTATTTCTGAAAAGTGTAATAATGTGTTATATTTATAAGGTCTTATTATGTGTTATTTTTTAAATGTTTATAATGTGTTATATTGACAAAGTATTATAATGTGTTATCTATGAATAATTTTATAATGTGTTATTATTGGAAAATTTTATAATGTGTTATTTTTTGACAAGTTTATTATGTGTTATCTTTGAAAGGTTTTATAATGTGTTATNTTAAAGATTATCCATTGTTTTTTTTCTTTCAGAATGAACTGTCCTACAAATGAAAAACAATAAGCAGAAAATAATCATCAAACTAACTTTTCAAGTTGGGATGCATGATAAAGGAAACACAAAAAATGGTGGATGGCTGTAAATTTATTTAAGGTTGTATTGCATATAAGTCTCTAGTTTTTCAATTGAATCTCAATTTGGAGTGGTTTCTTATCTAAAAATGAAAACGTGTTAAGGGACTATTTGATTACTGCATAATGCATTATGGCCTTACAGCAGTTCAAAAGCCTTAGTATTTATCACTGTCATATTACATATAAATATCTTCAGGACTACAGTTGTCAATCAAGCATGAGAATATTTCAAATCTTAAAGTGTCTACAGCAAAGTCATTAACTGTAGGAGATATTCATCTATGCCTAAAATTGCACCACAAAATCAACATGGAATACAGAAGTTCTTGACATATCTTTGTAGAATAACTCTCCTCGTGCCAATTACAAGTATATGCAAATTATCATCATAACTGTCCCATTCCTCCTTTGTAAATGCAAAGAATCAGACATTTGTCAGAAACAAACATGAAAAAAATTATTTATAGTCTATGTTTTGCTGTTCCAGCTCTAAAGCTATCTTATGTCTCACTTGTCATCCTACTTTAATCCAAATAGCCACAGATGAATGTAGATATATAACAATTGTATTCATTTATATGTATATTTTTCTAATAAATCACAGTTATTCAGTAATTTAAAAATGTAATCGTAATATACTATATAAATAAGTCAATGAAACATTTACAAATTTCTTGCTTTTATTCAGTAATCAACACGATTATTCTCAGATACTGAGAATCATCATTATGCAGGCTCCATCATATGGAGTTTTTTTTTATTTACCATATAAATAGCATAAGTAAATTGTACAATAATATTCATTTAGAAGTTTGCTAAATAATGTAAACTGCTTAAATGTTAACGGAAACCCAAATGATGGATAATTACTATTGGAATTTATACAAATCTAAAAATTCTTAAAAATCTGAACTACATACATATCAACAAAAAAGCTCGTAACAATATAAAATTTTTATATATCAAAAAATATCCCATTTTTCTTTCGAAAAATGTAAACAATCCATAAACTGATCATCATCTAAACTGAAATTCAAATTATTTCTAATTATTTTAACAATTCTTGTTTATACGTCTACAGACACTTCAAAGTCCGATGTTTTTAATAATCGGCCGAACTATTGCCTTATTGTATCGAGCTACTTTACCGCTATTTCAATTCTTGTTTAAAGAATGCATGCGCTATTTACAACAGTTTATGGATTACTATATTGTTACAAATTACAAAATTCCAGAATGCGCACCGTCTGCCAATTGGGTAAACATACTTTTTTTTTAAATATTTAATTAAAAAATAGGACTGTGCTCAAAGGAAACCAACTTAATTCTCTGAATAATATCTTTTTCTTAATGTTCTGTATTTTTTTAACATATACAGAGCTTCTAATTCCTTGATGATGTACTGGCCACGCGCTAGGCACATCTCGATCTGAATTGGATCCGTCAAGTCCTTGTTCTTCAAAAATGCCGATTTTAAACGGGTGCGAAAATATTCGTAACCTTTAGGATAGTCTTTTCCTAGATGCAATAACTATAAAACAGAATAAAGATAAAGTGATAAATATATATCAACATATTTATTTGATGCATTGAAATGTTAATTATGAATAATGGAATTACAGTTAACATAATAAACAGAAACACTTACTAATTAATTATAAGTTTTCTATTAATGTACAAATATAATCATTTAAATTGATTTTATTTCAAATTGATTAAATCAACACTCTTTTATGATTAAAATTTTAAAATTCTTCGAGACATTAAAATTCTATGCTTTGATGAACTTAGAACAATCTGATGAAAAATTATATCTGAAGTGAAAGGCAAATATAGTCTGTTAAAAATATCTTGGTCACTGATTCATTTAAGCAACATTAACTATTGACTGAAATGAAAAGAAATTACTCTACAGATAACATTTGTAATATGCTTTGACAATATTAAAGAACCTTTATCTCTGATAATAAAAATATTAAATAAATCGTGTAATGAATGCTTTCGACCTTCTCCAAGATCTGTTTCAGGCTATAGAACCATTAAATTCCAATGTTGGAATGTATTAGATAGAACAATTCTGAATACTAAATTTAAAATATTTGGAATATATACTGAGAAACTCAACATTTGCAAGCATGTGAATTCAACAAATACACTTAAGGCAAACCCTGTGAGCTTATTATTTGCAGATCTATCATGACAGCAAATAATATAGAATTAACAAGTTATCGGTGCCATGCCCTTCACACACGTAACGCCATGCATATGATAATGTGTTACCATCTTTAAAATTGAAGCACCTGCCCATCAAGCTGGCCTTGTCACCAATAATTAAGGTAGAAGATATCCAATATGCTTTAATTTTATTTGTTTGTAAGTGAAGTAAGATATAATAAATATCAATAGAATTGAATAAACAACAAACTTGGTCAAGCCGATCTCATAGCATGCTCCACAAAAACGAATCAAATATTAATTTTGTTTAAAATAAATTCGATAAATCCTTGGAATCATGTAGTTGTTGTGCATGCACGTGGACATCTGACAGACAGATAAAAGTCCTAACACAAGCACTTCACTACTATAGAGGAGTGTGCTAAAAAGTGCTCCAGCATCTCATTAAAAGTGAGACAACATTAACCAAAGAATTGGTTCAACCAACATACAAGGCCAGCAATCATCAATCAAATGAAAAAATAGATTCAAAACAAAAATGTTGAATGATGCCTTGCGTGAGATATAAAACAGTTTTTGTTAGCCCACTAAGGCAAACACTCAAGAAAAAGAAATACGTACAGTAGATGTTAAAAACTCAATTTAGTTTTGTGTGATAAAACTAAGCACAGGTTCAGTAAAAGATGCCAACTCTAGAACAGTTACTCCGGCAGTAACCCTAAACCCGATCATTGGCAGAACAATTACAAAAATAAAAATGGCCGTGTCACATCGATCCAATATAATAAATATGAATAATTATTATAACAAAAATTTTCCTAAAACTAACCCTTAATACTACACGTACTCTAATAAAAGAAAATTGAAAATAGGAAGCAAGAAGTATTGAAAATTGCAGATAGGATAGAATACCCAGGTTGCTTGATTACGCCATGCCTGATCTTCTTAGACCCAAAATATTTGTTCCTAACTTTCTCTTCCTTGGTTCTTGATGGTTTTCGTACACTTGATTCCAATAGCCAATTTCACGTTAGTACTCTTCAAATGGAAATGCCAGCTCTAACACACTAACTTTGACACTGGAATTTTGAAGTTCCCACCTAAAGTTCTAACCTTACCTCTCAGTGGCAATGGACACTGTAAAGTCTCTCTTGTTTTTATAATCTTCTCTCCTCACGCACCAACTCAAAAGTGATCTTCCTTTGCTTCATATATCCTCATGTAACCTCACTTATGATGTTGGTAAATTCTAGAAAGTGGTCCTCACTTCCAAGAAAGAATAACTGAGAAGTTTAGAAAGTGGTGGAAAGAACAAAAATTGTCAGAAGAACAAAAAAGCAGAGAAAATTGTCAGAAGGACAAAAAAGCAAAAGCATATAATATGGCAGACAGCAACATCTGAAAGTGGACTTCCCAAAACTGAATGCAAACATCAAGTAATGCTGAACAGAAACATACTCAGCAAAATACAGTAGAGCGTCGATTTTCCGACAGTCAATCATCCGAAAGAATTCCAGTCGGCAAATTTAAATTTTCGCCAGTGCTGTGGCGCTTCAATCTTTGGCTATGTCTTGGGCTACTCAAATATTTTACGTTTTTGATACTAAATTAACATCTGAAGTTTATTTTTTTAGTGTTTTTATATTTTTCAATATATTTATTTTGTTTGTACAAAATAAAAAAATAATTTTTAACGATACAATAGTCTTTGTTAGGCTTAACATCGACGAAAATTCAACGTGAAGCAACACGCAACGGAGAAAAATTTCAACATCGGATACGTTAAACTATTTTTTCGTACATAAACCGGTTATCCGAAATATCAGTTATACGAACAACGCCAGTTTTTTAAGTTTTTGAACAGCGTACTTCCATGCTGAGGGTAGGCCCTCCACATCTCTGGCGTTTATGCATTTTTCATCTAGCTTGCTCCTATATATTTCCATTTTTTCAGCAGTTTTTGCTAAAGTTGGGGAGTTGGCTAAACTTAAAAAACTTACAAGTAGCTCTTGAATTGCGCCATATCCGCAATTGTGTTATGGGAACCATAATGATTTTTATTGGTTAAAGGATAGTGGCTTATAATAATAATATTTAATGGTTGTATGTTATTTATTTTTACATTTATGTATTTTTACGCTTTAACTTTTATTTTAATTAGTTGCTACGTTATCAGTATTTATCTCTTTGAATTTGAATTTGGTGTTCTATTTTTTGTTATTCCAAATTTGAATGTTTAAACCTGAGGATGATCTATGGAGTAGATCGAAAACGTTAGTTTTTTAATAAAACTCCCTTGGCAAAAAATAAGGTGTTTGTTACTTGAATCAAGTAATGCACTTAATTTAGAAAATTTTGAAAGAAAAGATCAAAACAAACCACAAATCCATAATTTCTGCTTATTGTATATCTCAGTTATCAATTACTCTATATACACATCCATCCAATCATCTTTTCTAGACCTATAATAAATTATAAACTGTACAGATGAATTAAAATGAAAAATTTTTTTGGCAGCAATTAACTTCACCTGTAGATATTTGGGTGCTTGTTTACTTTGTTACTCATTAATAACATGAAAACAATTGCTACACACACCAAGCAACAGCAGGACAAACTTCATGCATGCAATTTGGTTTACATAACTTACCCAGATTTATAAGAGTAAAGATTCTTAAATCATTTGATCCAGTGATAATTCTTGAAAAAAGGTTTCCTTTGAAAATTAATTTAAAAAGAAGAAGCATGGTTTATGGGAGGTTTCACTATAAATAACAATAATTGAAATGTAAAAGATAAATATATAAAAAGTCTACCAATATGGGTAACAAAGTAAACTTTGACAAATCTATTTCCTTATCCTGTCAGTTAGCATGCTATTATTTTGAGGAAGAATCCAACAGCTTAACAAAATGGATAACAACTTAACACATGTTAAAATTTAAAAAAAAAAAAATACTTTTACTATCAGACTTTTATAAACAAAATTTTGCAACCTGCAAATAGACCTGTTGATTAACTCAGATTCACCACTCAGCACTGACCCATGGATATATCCGTCAAGAGCGATCATGATGCACTGGTGACCGACAGCTATATCTGCAAAATTCTTTTGCAGATTTCACCAAAAACTACCGCGAAAAAAAATTCACATAAAAAAGGAATTATGTAACAATAAATAAAGACTTTTCTTTACCAGACATAACTGTTTACAAAATCTTTTTCCAAAATGGTAATGAGAAAAAACATGTGGGAAAATACTTAAAAAATTTCCCACGTTTATTCTCCACTATATAGGGATAGCACCACACCTGACTAACCCACTGCAGAAAGGTTAATAAATTAAAGAAAGTGAAACTTGCATTTACAATTTTTTTTTCGATTAGAAAAAAGTGTATCATTTATGTCCTATATTCACCGACACAATAATCACAGGAGATATGTTTATATAAATAAAATTTTCATACACATCTATTAATAAACAATCTTTTGAGTTTTTGAATCTCTACATTAAAAAAAGGCCAATCAAATTATTTCTAAAAATAAATTTTAAGACATTCATTACACGTTTTTCATTTGGAGTTAAACAGAATAACACCTAAATACAAATTTCCAGCAAATAAATACACAAATATTTAATGTTCAAACATTTTTGGCCACAATTTTATCAGCCCTCTTCAGGAACAAATATGAAAAAAAAAATTGTTCTATAGATCAAATACAGCTGCATTCTAATTTTTTTTTTAAATTTCAAACATGATCAAACAACAGCTGTGACATACATTTTACAACATATATAACACGAGCAAATTTTTACACTGTACAGTCAAACGTGAAGTTATTAAAATGGAAATATTAATAAATTAAAATTTTTAAATTTGGGAGTGTAAATAATATTTCCAGGCATGCGGAATCAGAATGCAATCCATGTTGATGTATGTTCTATTCCTGTCAGCTCTGTAGATTTCTATGGCCTCCAATGCTCTTATGTCGTGTCAGTCAAACACCCTGTCTATCGGGGTAGCCTCATTCCAACAGGGGAAACTTGTGGATCAGTAGCACAATAGGCCAGAGCAGTATTAATATTTCCCTTTGCTACATCATATTTGTAATTGTGTAACCTGGCTTAAAAGATCTGTAAGTGGATCTGATATATATGTTGGTCTCTTGTTAAACCGTTCATCCTGTATGGCAGGATGAATGGTTTAACAAGTCGATGGCAAAGCCAATTTCTCACAATGTCGATGGCAAAGCCAATTTTAATTGGCTTTGCCATCGACATTGTGAGACATGTCTTGGCTTTGCCAAGACATTGCTCACAATGTCTTGACTTAATGTGTTACACTTGTAACTGAACGCAATGCATGAACATAATGCATAAACACAACTGTAGTGATGTTGGACCTAAAATGTCCTCCCTCAGATGCAGTTTTGTCAGTCCATGTGCAATCCATTTGTATACAGTTGTAAAAGGGGAATAAGAAATGTAGACAAAGGGTCGTAAAACCGGAAAAAAAAGGTGGGAATAGGGACAGAGAGTAGGTTGGGACACAGTAGAGAGAGAAAGGGTGAAGTGGTGGTCTCCAAAAGTGACAACATAGAGTTTCAATTTTTCTTCTGTTTAAAATGTAAGTACCTTTTCTTCATGTTTTAAATTAAATTGTGGCTTTTCTTACCTATCTAAACATAGTATGTATTTCACACCACCCCTTGCCACCTACACTATGCCTGAGACAACAAGTCGATCGTGACACATTTTTAAGATAAAAAGTAGATCTTATGTACACAAAAGTCGCCCACCCCTGCTGTATGGGATACGGTAAACCTTTGTGCTCTTCTGTCCTCTGTGCTGTTTAGCATTAGAAAGAAGGCAGAAAACATTGAGTTTCTTCTTATAAGTTACACATAGGTTTAAATTTTTGGCAATCTTCTTGTAAATTTGATGTAGGGACAATTCATACCTTAAAATTACCTGATTACCCTCTGTTTTGTTAACGCTTGTATTGGTGTTGGATGACTTAGCTAGATGTGTGGAAGCTAGAACATTGATTAATGAGCAACTGTACCCGTGGTTGGACACAATATGTTTCAGTTGCTCTAGCTCCTTGTTGGTATCTGACAGCTCAGTACAATGTGAGTACACTCTCATGACTAGTGCACAAAAAGTGGCTGCCTTATAAGACCATGGGGTCAGCTGAATTGGGCTGTATGAAAAGGGACATATGTAGGTTTGCAATAAATTGTGAAAGTGTTTAACTTATTATCAATCAATCAATCAATCAACATTTATTTGCTATGGGCTTTTGCCTTTACAGGGGGTTTACAAAATCATATAACAGATACAAACATTATTATACATGGTTTCAAAAATGTTAAAACTTAATTAATAATGTTATGTTAACATGTTTAATAAGTAACAGGAAAATTTATAAACTTTAAATAACATGTCAGAGCTTAAATTATCATCGTATAAACAAAACATATCAAAATCAGTCATCAATAAAGTATCCCTTAAATGTTCAGTAATTTCACAAGATACAAATAAGTGGTTTTTAATACTTTCACGGAGTCGATTACATAATGGGCAATTAATTTATCATATACTACCCAAATCTTGATGTCTAAGTAATTAACTTCTGTGTAGCTTTCTTGATCTAATTCTAGTGTTAATCAATAGTTGTTATTATTAAATACTTTTAACACCTTCCCTATATCCAGTTTAGTTCTCCATATTAATCAAAATGTCATCCACGTAATGGGTATAACTAAGGATATTATGTTTGAAGATTACTGAGGACTGCTCCTCCAATTGTCATAAGACAAGTTCACAAAAATCGCCCAAAATGGAGCTACCCATCAGCATCCCCCTTTTTTGGATGTAGCTATTGCTCATTTTATACACATTGTAAAATGTACGTCATAGCTGTTGTTCGAACATGTTTGAAATTAAATAAATTAGAATGTGACTGTATTTAATATATAGAACTTTTTTTTTATTTCTTCCTAGAGGGCCAAAATGTTTAAGCATTAAATATTTATGCGTTTATTTGCTGTAAATTTATGTTTAGGTGTTATTTTGTTCATGTATAGTTCCAATTTACTTGTGCAGTTGTTTTTTGAATAGAGTTACTAAATTAATTAACAAAATTCAGTAAGTTAAACAATTACGTAATATTTTTCTTTGCATCATTAATGAGTAACAAAGTAAACAAATGCAAAAGTTGGTTATATCAAAATTGTTTGTTCACATCTACTGCACACAGAACTGTGTCCAACATTTAACATAATGGCAAAAAATACAACTGAAAGATATACAAATGGAGTTCAACTGTACTTTAATGGAAGTGTTGATTTTAGTTTTTAACATGTCAAAATATCAAAGCATAGATCAGTGTTCCACAACCTTTTTCTACTCGCGGCACACCTATGACTCAAAATGACTCAACACGACACACCAAAATGTTATTCCCCTCAAAAACACATGATATGATACTATTAGTGGAATTTCGTAATGCCATAAACCTATTATTATTATTATTATGTTGAGTTTTGTGAATTATACTCAGTTGACACCGATGGCTGTATACTATGCCAGACCAGAGTCAAGGCATAGTAACCAAAACAAGACAAAAATTAAATAAGTGTGTCAGTGTGTGTCTGTATTCAAAAATTTCCTAACAATATGACATGTATTCAATATATTGGCCTTCTGTAGTGTGATGTATGCATTTCTATTCAATTCTAATGTTCCCAGGCTTTTGTGTAGCATGTGTGGTATCACACCTGTACAGGAGAGAACAACAGGTACAATAAGCACCCTTTCCATCCTCCACAGATGCCTTATTTCCTGGGCAAGTTCTGTATACTTGCTGATTTTTTCACTGCATGTGTTTTGTACATTGTGAGTGTTTGGAACAGATATGTCTATAATGTATATGATTTTATTGTGTTTGTCAATGAGTGTGATGTCTTGTCTGTTGTGGTAAATTGTTTTATCTGTGATTATGGCTGTTGTAGTACATTTTGTGCATGTTGTTTTCCAATACTATCTGTTGAATGTATTTGTAGTATGGTTCGTGGACGTCTAATAATTTGTGTTTCTTTGTAAGCTCTTGATGTATTTGCTACTTGATTATGTCTATGTAAATTATCTGTCTGTGCCAAGAGCTTGCAACCAGATATGATGTGTTGTATGGTTTCTGCCATGATGTGACATTTTCTGCATGTGTCATTTGTGAGTTGTATCTTTGAGTATGTGTTTTCTGTAGTTTTTAGTATTTATGACCTGATCCTGTATGGCAATCATGAATCCTTCCATCTCCCCAAAAAGGCATCCCCGATCTAACCAGCTGTTTGACGCTGTTTTGTCAACAAAATCATGGGCCAGGTCATAAGGATGCCTGCCATGGAGTGCCTTTCGAGCCCATGATTGCCTAATGGTGTCTATGCTTTTTATAGGTTGTGTCAAGTCTGTATGATGCAAGTGTAAATTTAATGGTGTGTTATTTGAGTCTGCTAGAGTTACTGCTTTATGTAATTGTGATGTTTCTTGTTTCCTGTAGAAAAACACTCGCAATGTCTGTATTTGTTTGTAGTGTAGGTTAACTATGTCGATCAGGCCACATCTGCCATTTTTAGGTGAAAGGCTTAATCTTTCTATGGCATATTTAGGATGATGATGTTCATGCTTAGTAAGTGTTGTTCTTGTTTTCATTTGGAGTTGCTTAAGATCTGTGTGAGTCCAATATATAACTCCAAAAGAATAAGTGTGTACTGGGATGACATATGTGTTTTATTGCTTTAATATCATCTTATTTCATCAATGAATGAAATAGAAGCATAAGAAACACAACAAATGTGATAAAAATATATAAATAAAGCCTGAAATTAATAAAATCATGTAAAAGTTCACATCAAACCTTTCACGTTGTGATGGCACACTGATTGCAGAACACTAGCATAGATAATTTGTATAAAATGCATTTCTTGCATACTAATTAAAACCTTAATTGTGTAAAGACAAGATATTAATATGAATGTATAAAGTAATAATTGTTTCATACAGTAAAAGTATGAGGAATTTTATTTTATTTTTCATAACATTTTAGCACTTTTTCCAATAAAACATGCATATTGCTAATACACCACATTCATTCATTAGCTTTGTTTTCATCCACTACATTTGGGTACATATAATTTGATGTCATTAAACCTATTGACATCAAAATCATGACTATTCACACACAAATGAATTTGGTATTCTTTTAATTATATATTGTAGATACATAACTACGTGATTAGTTTAAACTTTGAATGAAATTAATTAGTATTCATAAAAATACTTACATTTTTATATAACTGAATGACGCGACTCTTGTATGAAGCCATGGAAGATAATGCTACTTAATATACTTTCTATATAACATTGTTAAATAACAATATGTTGAATCTGCAAATATAAAATACCAATTAAATGGATATCTGATAAATGATTTTATACATTGTTCATAAAATATAAATTTTTTTTATTTGATATACAATTATAAACAACATACAAAAAACAAATACTGTAGAAAAATAACATATAACCAAAACTCCAGTATAAAACAATAATTTACCGAGTAAGAAAAAGTTTTTGATAGCATTAAAATATCATAAATAAGTAGAGGTGGAAAAAACTTTGGAAAGTATTTTCCAATGTTAATGCTAACATTTGTTTTTCTCAGTAAGTTATCATTTTATGCTATAGTTTTGGTTATCTTTGATATAAAATATTCAAATATAAAATAATACAAATAACATGTATTAAAAAATATTCTATGTGAAGAATGGATAAACTTTCTACTTCTGAAACTTTACGACAAATCTGTTCTAATTTCTGAAGTCATTATTATAAAAACATTCTGTAAAGTAAATGAATATCTTGACTATAACCAGTAGTTTCACTTTAGTAAAGTACTTTTTATTGACACATTTTGTTCTATTTTATATTTATCATATCATAAAAAGATAATTAAATATATTGTCCTACATAATTTCTCAATTTATAAAAAAAAAAACAAATTATATTACACCAATTTTATTATTATGTTTTACTCTGATGCATTCATATGGGATATTAAAAGTATATATATACTTTTAATATATATATATAATAAAATAAAAATAATTAGTATATATAATGTAAAAAAAAATGTGGAAATCCCTCATTAATAAATGCAATTAGTTCTAAACATACTATAACTGGAAATCTGATTAACTCAATCCATTACTTCTAAGAGCTTTGAGGTAATTGATTATGATTACAACTTACAGAAGTCTCTTTAATTACAGTAGAGCGTCGTTTATCCGAAGGAATTCCAGTCGACAAATTTAAATTTTCGCCAGTGCTGTGGCGCTGTAATCTTTGGCTATGTCTTCGGCTACTCAAATATTTTACGTTTTTGATACTAAATTAACTTCTGAAGTATAATTTTTTATTATTTTTATATTTTTCAATATACTGTATTTATTTTGTTTGTACAAAATAAAAAAATAATTTTTAACAATACAACAATACAGGATAAATTAATATATTTTTTCGTACATAATTGGTTATCCGAAAAATAAGTTATCTGAACAACCCCAGTCCCCAATTGATTCGGATAAACGACGCTCTACTGTATATCATTTAATGCTTCTTTAACTAATTCCTTATTTTTATTTAAAGCAGTATGTTAACTAAATTTCAGAATCATTATTTTTTAGTTTGTTTTGGATTTAACATATATACAATTATGCACAATTAGTCCAATATTGGTATCGCACAATAGGTACATTCAAGTACTGATGAGTCACTACAGCTGGTCCAGGCTCAGCCATATATATAATTACATTGCCAATGTCCATTGTTAGTCAGAAGCATAATCACAATATGCCCTTGTACAACTTATTCACAACCAACACAGTAGTACAATTGTGCACTGATAAGCCTCTATAAGCGATCCGAGTTCATCCAGGTAATTTGTTTATGTTGCCGACATCCTCTGTTAACCATGAGCATATTCCCAATATGACATAATTATATTATGAATAATCACAAGTAAAATTGTCAATTACAATTATACACCTAGAGCAAACATGTTAATTACAAGTCGTACTCAACCAGGAATCAAGTTACCAACAGAATCACACAACATATTTGTGCCGTTTGAACAAATTGCATTCCAAATGCATGCCCACACTTTGTGAGCCACATGCAGTCAATTATTAAGTTCTGACAGGATCACCTAATATATTTTTTAATTATAAAATCTAGACTTGTCGAGTGCAATCCCATCATATGTGAAACATACACAACCAATTGTCCAATTTTTAAGTGTTTATATAAGTATTTTTGCTTTGAGCAGAACTGCATTAAAGTATAAACATACTCTGATAAGACACTGTAGCTGATTTGAGTTCAGCAGAGTGTTTGTTTAGGTTGCTAATGTGCTCTGTTAGCCAGGAGTAAAGTTATGATATATTCTTAACTGCATTATGAAGAATAACAAGGAAAATTGCCAATCACAATTGTCCGCATAAAACAAACACACCACTTGTGAGCCGTGTGCAGTCAGGATTCAAGTTTCCAACAGAGCCATTCTACATATATATATATATACTGTTAGAACAATTAGTTTTCCAATTTCAAGCCCACATTTTGTGAGCATATGCTGACAATTGTTAAGTTCTGACAAGATCATCTAATATATTTTTAACTATAATCAAAGGCTTGTCAAGTGCAAGCCCACTTTATGTGAGACGTACACAACCAAATATCCAATTTTTAAGTGTTAATTTAAGTATTTTTGCTTTGAACAGTACTGCACAGAAGAACAATCATATACTGAAGAGTCACTGTAGCCTGTCCAGGCTCAACTGAGTAGTTGACTATGTTCACATTGTCCTCTTTTAGTCAAGAACATACTTGCATTTTATTTGTAATTATATGATAAAATGCTTTAAGTATTATTAACCATGACAGTTGTCCGCCAGAGTGAATAAACCACTTGCATTCACGTGTTTTTATATTTTACAACAGTACCTGAATAGGACTCTTAAATCTTTTGTAATATGTTTTATAATATACCAACTGTTACCCACGACTTTGCCTGCGGAGGTTTTGCAAGCAAACCCCATTATATTCAGTATTTCAACCACCATAGTAATTGTAATATAACACCTACCACTAAAAATGATGAGAATTGCTCAAAATCAAATGAACTACTTTCAATTTGATCAATTTTCTGGAACGTTTACAATCATTCTATAATCGAACCAATGTGCAATAAAAAATTCAAATTTAAAACAGTTTGAACATTTGGTTTAAAAATCAAAATATATAAAAACATTTATAACAATGTCTGAAATGTTATCAATTTAATACACCTAAGTACTTAATGAAGACTAAACGTAGTTGAAAACAAAAAATTACATCTAAAATAGTACAGTAGAAACCGTTCTTCCGGTTAAACCTTAATGCTCTCCCTTTCCTCCCTGCTTGGAAATTTCGAAAAATCCCTTCTTAGTGTGCGTTTCCATGACATACCCTAACTGTGTACCAAATTTCACCTCTTTAGGTTCAGTGGTTTGCTCTGGGCGATGATGAATCAGTGACTAAGTCAGTCAGTCAGTCAGGACAAGTAATTTTATATACAGTAGAGCGTCGATTATCCGAAAGAATTCCAGTTGGCAAATGTAAATTTTTGCCAGTGCTGTGGCACTGCAATCTTTGGCTATGTCTTGGGCTACTCAAATATTTTACGTTTTTGATACTAAATTAACTTCTGAAGTATAATTTTTTATTGTTTTTATATTTTTCAATATATTTATTTTGTTTGTACAAAATAAAAAAAATAATTTTTAACAATACAATAGCCTTTGTTAGGCTTAACATCGATGAAAATTCAACGCGAAGTGACACGCAACGGAGAAAAATTCAACATCGGATAAATTAATATATTTTTTCGTACATAATTGGTTATCCGAAATATCGATTTTCCAAACAACCCCAGTCCCCAATTGATTTGGATAATCGACGCTCTACTGTATTTAGATATAAGAAATAATAAATAGGTAAAAACTCACAAATTAAAAATGATCAAAATGTCTGCCTTTTATTTGAAGTTCTGACGTCTTTTACATTAAAACCAAATAAGTCTTCTCACCGTACCATCAAGTAGATATCCAATTTTTATCAGGTTCAAGCCCTCTGGAGGTTGATACGAGTTATATTTGAGATTCTGACGTCTGAAATTGTATCCATATGCAAATGAAAGGATAACCATTTCAAAACGGATTCTGATTTATTTTCTTATTAAAGATTGCAGCATTACTTCTTGTCACCTGCAGATGGCTATGCTTGGTCAACCATATTCAGCAAATGAAATCAACAAGGCAGCTCAGGAGACAAATTCCGACTTTCCATGACTTTTTCCAAACACTAATGATAATCCCTGACTTTCCAGGTGCGTAGCAACCCGGTATTAATCTCGGTACAAGATGGCAGCTAAACCTATAGGATAATTCTTCAATAAATTAATAATTAACTTAATTTTAGCTATAATTCATGAGCTTTGTCTAATGATAAGCAATAGTTGTCTCAAGCTCTACACCAATAAAAAATAATTAAACTTTTAATTTATTGTACTAGGTATCAAAATGTTTTTAGGTCATATTGGTATTAATATATATACAAACATCTCCAACCCGATATACAACATAGCTACAACCAACTGACTGCCGAAAATCTATCGGGCTAGTTTTATGCTAATTATTATTAAGAGATGGCGCCTAACGCTTACCTCTAGTACCAAATTGATTACGTAATTTATTTAATAATTAGCATAAAACTAGCCCGATAGATTTTCGGCAGTCAGTTGGTTGTAGCTATATTGGTATTAAACCTATAAATTTTGTAGCATTTAAAAATTTTATGAAATCTAAGAAAAAAATGCAATTAGTGACAAATTTTAGCAATTAACATTATCTGACAATCAATAACAAAATACAAAATATTACACAGTATTTGCAAATATTTAAGCAGTTAGATAAAATATTATATCACCACTACATGTTCTATAAACAGGAAATTAAATTAAACACAAACCTCTCTCACACTATTTTTGTTGAAGTCATTGAATGTCATAACAAAACACTTGTTGTTAGAGGAGGTTGTCAAACTGATACTGTGATTCTTAAGAACTTTGATCACTTGACATGGGTCAAGAGATCAAGTTCTCTAGCTCGACCCCTTCAGATTTCGATTAACTTTGACACAAAAGTAGCTAAGGATCTTAAACTAAGCTATGCAAAATATTGACCCATATGTTGCATGGTTCCTTAGATATAAGTCAAAATATGAAAGCACCTGAATTCACCTCTCTGTGTGCAGTGATTAAACAGCCAACTTTGTTGTCCAATGATTCC